CCCCCCCCAAAATTCAGGTCCTCCATTGTAAGCAGTGATGCATTATCTGAGGAGCTCAGTAAGAATATGCTGGAAAAATGAAGGCAGGCAAATAAAGTGAAAGCCTTCCTGGAAGAAAATTGTTTACTGAATAAATGAACTGTATTTAGGAAACTGGAGGCAGACAACCTCATTGATTTCCAATACTTTCTATGGATGACCTGAGAAACATCACCATGGGGGTTTAATTATCAACTTAAACAAGCGCCTAGTTATACGAAGGAACACTTTAATTTGTTGAGCATGGAGCATATGAACTACAGCTGTACACAGAAACAGAAAACCCACATCTTATTAAGATAAAAATACAATTGCGACATTCTAACAGCACGACACACTCTTTGTGGATTGAGTATGACAACTCGGCTACTCTAGAGCCCATCAAAGGCTGGTTCTGTACCTGTAAGGTAGGCTCTAGAGTAGTTGGTTGTTGTGCTGATATTGCAAGTGTGTTGTGGTTTTTGGACTTTGAACGTCATCAAGAACACTCAACACGTGCAGCGACAATTTCCACAGACAGTGTGTTAGATGCAGTTGATCAACCAACCACTGATTCAGACACTGACGAAGGGAGTGACGTGAATCCTGAAAAGTAAAACAACATCATGACTGTATCAATAGTGGACATTGTTAATTAGAAATATGGTAAATATACAGTCATATTCTATTTGTAATACTTAAAATAGTTATTGAACCAGTGTTGGGTAATATAATGAGAATTTTTCCCGTCATTAAATATATTGACAATTAAGTAACTATTTTACATGATAAGAATGTTTGTATTACAATTTAATTGGAACAATGATGTCGCTGGATTTATTTACTGCAAGTTGATGTTTTCAAGTATTTATTTTCGTGAGAATGTGATTGGTTGTTATTCTACTATGATGGTACAGTCAGCGTGTGTGACACATTGGTTTCAAAAATTAAAAAGTGATTGAACTTGTCATTTACAATGGCAAAACTATTGTTGCTATGTGTGATTATTGCTTGCTAAGCAACCATATATCACCATTTTCACATGTATGTATTTGCTAATCGAGAATACCCAAAGATGCATAGCTAAATGTTTTAACATAAATTGTAACCATAGGAAATAGAATTGTTTGGAGGGTTTTTTTCTGATACCAATACATCATTTTTGCCATTTTTTAGAGAAATTCTTCTGCATGCATTATATGAATACCTGTATTTGGAGTGTCACTGCACATGCGCACAGAAAGATTACATCATAACACCTTTTGATTTGTTAACTATATAAGCTACTGTTCCTACTTTATATAATAATTTCATCAACATTAAGGGGGCCAAATTTGACCCAAACCATATATAGTCCTTTGTTTTAGTTCATCTGTGGACAATGGGAATTCAGTTTTGGTTAAAAAAGGTTTTGACCTCCCTTGGTTTCAGGGTCCAATAATTCAGGGATTTGATCCCACCTTTATACAGTTAAAGTATGGGGTTGAGGAATATAGCAAGTTTCTGGTGTCACGAGACCGGATCTATTTTCCGAGGCGAAGCCGAGGGAAATAGGCATGGTCAAAGGACACCAGACACTTGCTATATGCCTCAACCCCATACTTTAACCGTTTTATTATACCGATACACACTGGAGAGATAGTTTTAATTAGAAAATATTTGTAAACCATAAGCTGTATAGCTTCACGTCCCTACTACCCTTTTGATGGCAATGGAGCCAAATGCTTCCGAGATCGGTAGCAAGCTCCGCCCACCGCGCGCGTCACTGCCGAGTTCGGTAACAAGCTCCGCCCACCTCGCGCCTGATTGGCTCGGCGGAAACACCTGAGTGTAGATGTGTTTTAGTTCCCAGACTAACACACAGGACTAAAACACACTCGGGCAAAAGTTAGGATATATTCGATTTAACCAATTACAGTCGAACCTCGTTATCTCGAAGTCGACGGGATCGTTGGGAAACTTCGAGTTATCCAAGTATTCAGGTTAAGCGAGTTCATATGTTTGGCATAAAGCTTGGTTAAGTGTTTGGTCAAATATGAGGCTATCAATACGTTGACTGTTGGAAAAATCAACGACTTATATAAACAGTCGATAAATGCCAAAAGATAACGATATAAAATAAAAATAAAAATTTATTCATAATCATATTAATTAATTGATACAAATCAATGTTACAATAAACACACATACAAACAGGAAGAACGTCTACTGTAAAACTTATATGCTGTCTCCGACCTCGCTATGCTGATAGCGGAAATGAAAGTGTGCAAGTCTTTACACAAATCACTGTATTGGAGCGTACACGTAAATGATGATATAAATGATCAAATAATTAAAGAATATATGATAGACTTGTGAATCTTAAGAAACTTCGAGGTAAGCGATATTTTTATGTAGGATTTACGTTGTTGGGACCGATATTTCACTTCGGGATATCCGAGTTATTCGAGTTTTAAGAGTTCGAACTATCAGAGTTTTTATTAATAAGTTTAAGAAGAGTTTTGGCCGGGACTGATGAAATACTTCGAGTTAAACGGGGTCTTCGAGTTATACGAGTTCGAGATAACGAGGTTCGACTGTACTTTTATATAGAGTAAATAGAGTAGAGGTGTAATAATATAGCCAAACATATGTTTGTTAGACATGAAGAAAAGAAGACATCTATGCTACCAGGACTGACTCTTGAGGTCAAAACCCACCCCTGGGGACTAAATCCCAGGACATAGCATGGGAACAGTTGAGATTCTGAACCCTTCAACAATATAGAAAAGAGCTTTGCTTGAAGAAATCAGTCATGTAGTGTTGTTTTACCCACCCAAAGGATTTAATCTTTCTTTTAGATTGTATTTCTTTTTTGATAAACTGGTATAGCTTTTGGCAGGTTTTGAATTGAAAATGAATACCAGGTAAGCTAGTAGGCCCCTGGGCCTCTTGATTGGATTTCAGGTGGCAGCTACAGCTAACACAAGTACTAGTGCACAAGACAAGAAGTTTGATAGGCAGCATTTCCCTTGCTTGAAAGTATTTTTTGTTTTACAGCAAAGAGCCACTCTTGAAGGAAATCTGGCCAGAGGGCAGTCAAAAAATCACAGAGACAACTAAACGTCCTACCACAGCAGGCACCAACTTCAAGAACTCCATCATAGCCCTAGTGCAGAACCTGGCTTCAAAAGTAATTGAGCAGACATGCTTTTAATTGTTTTTATTTCATTGGGGGTATATAAATGAAGGGCAGAATATCAAGGTTAACTATATAAATGAAGGGTACTATATCAAGGTTAACTTTATAAATTAAGGGTAGTATATCAAGGTTAACTGTATAAATGAAGGGCAGTATATCAAGGTTAACTATAAAAATTAAGGGTAGTAAATCAAGGTTAACTGTATAAATGAAGGGCAGTATATCAAGGTTAACTATATAAATTAAGGGTAGTATATCAAGGTTAACTATATGAATAAAGGGCAGTATATCAAGGTTAACTATATAAATTAAGGGCAGTATATCAAGGTTAACTGTGTATAAATGAAGGGCATTATATCACAGTTAACTATTTAAAATTAAGGGTACTATATCAAGGTTAACTATATAAATTAAGGTAGTATATCAAGGTTAACTATATAAATTAAGGGCATTATATCACGGTTAACTATTTAAAATTAAGGGTACTATATCAAGGTTAACTATATAAATGAAGGGCAGTATAATAAGGTTAACTGTATAAATGAAGGGCAGTAAATCAAGGTTAACTCTGTATGAATAAAGGGCAATATGTCAAGGTTAACTATATAAATGAAGGGCAGTATAACAAGGTTAACTCTGTGTAAATGAAGGGCAGTATATCACAGTTAACTATTTAAAATTAAGGGTACTATATCAAGGTTAACTCTGTATAAATGAAGGGCAGTATATCAAGGTTAACTCTGTATAAATGAAGGGCAATATGTCAAGGTTAACTATATAAATCAAGGGTAGTATATCAAGGTTAACTCTGTATAAATGAAGGGTAGTATATCAAGGTTAACCATAAATGAAGGGCAGTATATCAAGGTTAACTCTGTATAAATGAAGGGAAGTATATCAAGGTTAAGTATATGAATGAAGGGTAGTATATCAAGGTTAACTATATAAATGGAGGGCAGTATATCAAGGTTAACTATATAAATAAAGTGAAGTATATCAAGGTAAACTATATAAATTAAGGGCAGTACATCAAGGTTAACTATAGAAATTAAGGGTAGTATATCAAGGTTAACTATCGAAATTAAGGGCAGTATATCAAGGTTAACTGTATAAATGAAGGGTAGTATTTCAAGGTTAAATTTATAAATTAAGGGCAGTATATCAAGGTTAACTGTATAAATGAAGGGCATTATATAGAGAATAATACATACCTTTTTCCATATCACACCCAGGATCAACCCGAGACTGCAATATCAGCCCAAGAGCCGAAGGCACGAGGGCTGATATTGGTCGAGGGTTGATACTGGGTGTTATATGGAAAAAGGCGTGTTTTTTTCTGTTTATTACATATTTACTAATAAAAACTACTATCTTATGATTTAATTTTCTTTTTGAAATATTGAAAAACGAAAAAAAATCCAAAAGTGGGGTGATATGGGTTTTGCGGGCTGATACGGGTTTTGGGGTGTGATCCGGCGAGGGCTGATATGGGTTAGAGCAATCGTGTCGTATCGCATATACAAAAAACTCGTATCTATCGGCAAGTATGTAATAAATCACGGTTAACTATTTAAAATTAAGGGTACTATATCAAGGTTAACTATATAAATGAAGGGCAGTATAACAGGGTTAACTCTGTATAAATGAAGGGCAGTAAATCAAGGTTAACTCTGTATAAATGAAGGGCAATATGTCAAGGTTAACTATATAAATTAAGGGTAGTATGTCAAGGTTAACTCTGTATAAATGAAGGGTAGTATATCAAGGTTAACTATATGAATGAAGGGCAGTATATCAAGGTTAACTATATGAATGAAGGGCAGTATATCAAGGTTAATTTTATAAATGGAGGGCAGTATATCAGGTTAACTATTTAAATTAAGGGTAGCATATCAAGGTTAACTATATAAATAAAGGGAAGTATATCAAGGTAAACTATATAAATTAAGGGAAGTATATCAAGGTTAACTATATGAATGAAGGGCAGTATATCAAGGTTAACTATAGAAATGGAGGGCAGTATATCAAGGTTAACTGTTTAAATTAAGGGCAGTATATCAAGGTTAACTATATAAATAAAGTGATGTATATCAAGGTTAACTATATAAATTAAGGGAAGTATATCAAGGTTAACTATATGAATGAAGGGCAGTATATCAAGGTTAACTATAGAAATGGAGGGCAGTATATCAAGGTTAACTATATAAGTGGAGGGCAGTATATCAAGGTTAACTATTTAAATTAAGGGAATTATATCAAGGTTAACTATATAAATTAAGGGAAGTATATCAAGGTTAACTATATAAATGAAGGGCAGTATATCAAGGTTAACTCTGTTTAAATGAAGGGCAGTATATCAAGGTTAGCTATATGAATGAAGGGTAGTATATCAAGGTTAACCATAAATGAAGGGCAGTATATTAAAGTTTACTTTATAAATGAAGGGCAGTATATCAAGGTTAACTATATAAATGGAGGGCAGTATATCAAGGTTAACTATATAAATGAAGGGCAGTATAACAAGGTTAACTGTATAAATGAAGGGCAGTATATCATGGTTAACTATATAAATGAAGGGTAGTATGTCAAGGTTAACTATAAATGAAGGGCAGTATATCAAGGTTAACTATATAAATGAAGGGTAGTATATCAAGGTTTACATTATATAAACAAGGATTGAAGTTTTGCTATTGATCTGGGATATTAAATTCATGTGATAATTCTCAATGTTTTTTATTTGACCAAAAAGCTACCTTAAATCTCTTATTTGTCTCATAGGAGCCTCATTACGTGAGATGCATCAAGCCCAACGAGATCAAGTCTCCGTCACGACTGGACAGTGAACGTGTCCAGCACCAGGTCTTGTACCTTGGACTGATGGAGAACGTGCATGTACGGAGGGCTGGCTTTGCCTACCGGGCTGGCTATGGACGATTTCTCCAACGGTATACATCTTACCTGGCATTATGTAAATCTTATCGTCGGATTTTGGTGTATAAAACTCAGTTATTTGTATATGTCATAAGGGTGAAGTTTTAAATGTGATTAATTGTATTTAGGAAAGTTGAACAGTGTCACAGCTGTATATTGTCTTTTTTTGAGTGTTTATTAGCCTACCAGCATCAGATGGATGGCTGATCAAATCACACTTCTTCTGTTGTCAATCTTCCATCGTCCGTTCATCCTTAAACAAATTTTGTTCACGCTATATATTTCTCACAAAAAACTGGAGGGATCTTTCTCAAATTTCTCATGAAGGATCCCCATAGTCACAAGTTGTGCATATTGAATTTTGTTGCTGATTGGAAAACACAGATAACCAACAGGAGGCCTTTGTTCTATTGCCATTGTTTTATGTCCATCGCCTGTCGCGCATGAACTGTCAAATTTCCACATTCACCTCAGGAACTCTTTGTCAGATTTTGGTAAAATTTGGTGGTAATCATTAGTCTTTGGTGGAGAAATCAGAATCTATACTCAAGATGAGGATAACCCCCAGGGGGCTGGGGGATCAGGGCCTAAGGAGTCGCAGATTACAAAACTTTAAAGACTTTTTCTGTGAAACTTCCTGATGAATTGTCAAAATTTCATAGAATGATGGTTAGATGATTATGATCAGAATTTCTGCTAAAGGAAGGGCTTACCCCTTTGGGTCTGATCAGAAACCAAAATGGTGAACAAGCAGCCATTTTGAATTATGAGAGTTAAAGTTTGATAGCACAATTTCGTAGAAAGAACTGGAGGTATCTCTTTTTACCTATAGAATCCATATGATTTCTTTATGAATATTGATCTTGAATTTTGGGAGTATAAGTTTGCTATTTAGTCCCAATGACCAAAGTCAAGGTCACATTGAAGTCAAAGCTCTATGAAATTTTATAGAAATATGTAGAATGGTCAGGCGTTGTGTTGAATACCATTTAGGGGTCCAAGTGTCAAATTCTCATTAAGTTCAAAGCCAAATTGATTGTCAAAGTCTTAACTTTTTTATATCTCCAAAGGTAAACTTTTATATCTCCAAAGGTAAATGAAGAATGATAATATAGGTGTGGCATACCACTTTGGAGTTTGTTAACTTGACACAGTTAAGTAAATCCAGAGATAACAATGACACCAGGCATAATGAATTTCAGATAAAGATATGCAATGCATACCCTTGATCCCATTATTGATACCCATACCGAAAAAAGTTACAAAAAAGTTACTTCTATTTAGGTACAAAAAAGTTATAACTTTTGATGCTAGATTGGAACCTTGTGAGAAGAGAGTTTCAATCTAGTACTAAAAAGTTACAAAAAGGTATTAAAAAGTTACACTCAAACACTTTGTTCAGTTCAATCATTACTTTATTTGCAAACAAAAGGTACACAAAAGTTACATTTAGCCACTTAAGCACTAGTGAAAAAGGTATCATAAAGTTATAACTTTATTTAGTTACTAAAAAGGTACAAAAAAGTTATGCTTTTCTGAGATACTGAAAAGGTACAGAAACAGTTCTAGTAAAAAGGTACAATAAAGTTATAACTTTATTTAGTTACTAAAAAAGTACAAAAAAGTTATACTTTTCTGAGATACTGAAAAGGTACAGAAAAAGTTCTAGTAAAGTTATAACTTTATTTAGTTACTAAAAAGGTACAAAAAAGTTATGCTTTTCTGAGGTACTGAAAAATGGAGAAATCGTATTTGTTAGGTATAACTTTTTAAAGCTTCATAAACCTCTCATGTATTATGAAAAGGTATCAAAAAAAATCATAACCTAACCTTTACTGGATCTGTTGTTTAAATGAAATTCTATTTTAATAGAGTATTCCTTTGAAGTTACTATTATATATCACCTGCTTTCTTGTAGTTATTATCATATAAATAAATATTCCTTTGAAGTAACTATAATATAAATAATTTTCTTTACGTTACTATTATATGAATAAATATTTTCTTTTAGCTACTATTATATAAGTATTTTCTTGAAGTTACTATTTATCATCTAGATATTCTCTTGCACTTACTACATCAAAAATATTTTCTTGTAGTTACTATTATATAAATACTTTCTGTAGTTACTATTATTTTACAATATAATACACAATAATGCAATAAATATACTCTCATGCTGACTTTCAGGGAGTGCCCTGCATTGACTATGACTCTCTCCAGCTTTGACACTAGCATACTCACTTTTATTCTCTGGTATTCACAACTATTTCACATAACCATTCCTAAAATAATCATTAATAGAATATCTCTTGTAAAGTTACAACAAACAATCATATTAATAGTTCTTAAAAGTTGAAATGTCTCATTTGTTCTATGTGGTTGAGTTCCTCCTGGCCAAGCTGACCAAAGCACTGATTTTTGTCCTCATTGAAAACTTGATTTCTGACAGGCCACTTTTCCCATGAATCGCCTCAGCATAATCTGTTGAAAAGCAGATGGTTTAGGAAAAATAGCTAGTAACATAATTGCAACTTTATTAATTCTTTCTTCATCACTTAAAATTCTAGGAATTAATGAATATGAATGGTGAAATTATATTGGTAGCATTTTATGGTAAACTTGCTATTTATTATTCACTGACAGGCACCATTAATCAGTTCAAGTAGCTATAGCGATACTTTTGTAATTTCAGTGATATTACTACTACATAAAGAGAATTGCTGTAGAACTCTTTTCTTTTGTGCTGTTATGAAAAAGTTTTAATTCATAATTACCAATTATTGCTCAAACAATGGTCTGGTTCAAACCTTTCCCAGGTTGACCAGCTCAGTGTTGGTGAAGAACACTGACATCAAATATCTGTCGACCTGTTCCCCTTCGTCTTCCTCTGTGTAGTTTTTATGTGTTTGGGATACACATAAACCCCAGTCCCAGGTATAAGCTCCACCATCTGTCAAGATAAGGAGCAATAACACAATTTACAAAATAATATAATTTTGCAATTAAAATGAGTCTCCTAAACAAGCAGGAAGTAAACAAGAAATTAAAGACATGTTTACCTCTAATGTCTTATCTTGACACAACACAATAGCATTGTAACAGTTGATCGGATTGCTAATATATTTACAATATGTTGTAAAGAGATTCAAAATGAAAAGCTTTTCAGTTCATTGTGAGTTAATGGTATATAATATCTATATAAATGTAATAGCAAAATCTATCTAAATGTAAATACCAGTGCATTACTTATTTGTTGGCTTTGATCTGTTTTATTTTACCTTAAATACCTCCCCAACAAGAGCCGGGTTCAAAGTCAAGAGATCCACTTTGTCTCTGACCATTGGACCCAAATGACCTTGACCCTTAATTATAACCCAGTGACCATGATCTTTGGTCAGTTGACTTATTCTTTATTTCCGACCAACTTTGCTTTATAATACCATAACAAAATGTTCATCAGTAAAAAGTGTCATAAAGAAATGTTCACCAGTGAAAAGATACTAAATTTGACCTTTACCATTGATCTTGAATTAAGTCATGTCATTAAATGCTCATTCATGAAAAGCTACAAAATTTGACCTTAACCTTTGATCCAGTGACCTTGACCTATGACCTTTGGTCAGTTGATTCCTTGTTGAATTCTGATCAACTTTGCTTCATCATGTCATAATAAATTGTTAAGCAGTAAAAAGATACAAAATCTGACTTTGACCTTTGATCCAATGACTTTGACCTTCGATAAGTTGATTTCTTGTTGTATTGTGACCAACTTTGCTTCATGATGTCTTTACAAAATGTTTACCGATAATTTAAGAGCAAAAAAAAAATGTTTAATGTTAAAATCCAATATGGCTGATTAGCAGCCATTTTGATTCAGATCTGCCGAAATATTACCAAGCAGAACTAGGATGCATGGGAAATCATCATGTAAATTTTTTAAAAAACTTACACCATTTACTTCCATCAATATTGTACAAAAGAAAAAAAATGGACAGACAGACGGACAACCTGATTACTATAAGGGAACATACCCGCATCTTCGATGTGGGGCCCTAATAATTGTAGAAATCAAAATTCCAAAAGAAAGCCATTTTTATTTCAGCTTGTAACCATATAAAGGCTGTCAAATTTCAATAAGGTTAGACAAAAGACAGAGGAGTCTTCTGAGATTACAAAAGCTTAAACAAAAGATCACAAAATCAGTACCTTAAATCAATGAACTCACCTTTGTTTGATTTGTTTTCGGCACTGATTCTCTTTGCAGCAGGGGGTTGAGGGGGAGGTTCATGGACCTCTATAACAGACTCATGAGGTGGAGCTGAGAATTCTTCATCTGTTGTTTCTGCCTGTATTTTCCCCCATCAGTGTGCACAGCTCTTGTTATCATCTAGAAAAAGAGAAAATATTAGAAAAAAATGTGATTTAAAAAATTGGAATTCTCTAATTTAACTGATGTATATACTGAGCTATACATAAAGGTTTCTGTAGGGAACAGGGTAAGGACATGCAGTGTGGAAGGAGAGGGATCATGCAACTTTACTGTGGAATATTTAAAATGGCACACTTCAATTTTTGAAGAATTTTTTTTTTCCCTTTCAAGTCATAGGAATATCAAGTTATTTTAATAACACAAAACAAGAAGCATAAATATCAGTTTTATCAAGTTGAAAGAATTCAAAATTTTACTCAAAAAAAATGAAATAAAATTCAATATGTTTTCAAAGGACGTCATTAAACAATATTTGATGAAGTATGCAGAAGTTGAACAGTGCCTGCTACTTGCATGCCATTTGCTTAAAAAACATTCAGATATATCTCTTTAAATTTCCTTTTTGAAAAGTTTTTAATCTTTTTAACGATATATGAAGATTATAAAAACAACATCCATTGTACTGCTCACATTTCTATTTTAGGTACTCTTACGTTTCAATTCAAATAGGTGAAGAAAATCATAGGAAATTTAGAAATTCCAAAGCTATTTAAGATTAACAAAAAATAAGTAAGCAACCATTTAAGTAGAAATTATTCAATCTTAAAATATATTGATAGGAAATTAAGATGCATTGGCTTTTAAATTTCTGTTATTTCATGTCATGAAGGAGAAATTCCAATAATGATTTCAATATTTGTAATGTGTTTGTTAACTTTATAAAAAACGAAAAAGTGTATACTTGTACAGGAAAAATATATATTCGGCACGGGGTTTGAGTATATATTAAGCTAGAAATTAAACATCACACTGAAATATCCTTCCTTTCCCTGAAGAACAAAGAATAAACAAATATCGAAAATCTTATTATACACCGAAACGGATTCTGGTAAGTAGATCTACTTTCCGAATTGTATACAAATATAGTAGCTCAGTAAACGAAAAATGTAATCGGTACCGAAATAATCGGTGTTTTTTAACAGATAGTACTGCCATCTGCCCATCTCTAAAGATCAAACATATAAGAAAAAAATATACATCGTCTCAGTCATGGTACTGTATTTATTTAATAAATTTGATATGTTTACTCTGCGTTTTGTATTGAATCCTTTCGATGAAAATACAATTGATGGCTTACCTGAAATATTCCCTGAAATGGCGACGATCTTCCCATGATATTCCCCAGAAAACCTGGGATTCATGAAGGATTTCATCAGCAAATGCGTATATACCAAGCTCTTTCACGGACGTTCCAATGTCTTCAAGGATATGATGAAGTAGGTATCGTCTTTCCAGTTAACCAAAACACGTTCCAATATTTTGTTTACTTCTTGTGACTCGCCGGGTTAGAGTTCAAAATCTAGAGGTCGATCGAATACAAAATTTACCCGCGCGCTTTTCATTGGCCAATTTGATAAGGCTATTTATAGTCACGCGAGATTAATTTTTCGCATAGGGCGTCGCTGCAATAACGATAAAGTCCTACATCATATTAATCATAACTATTTATTGTTAAATACAAATAGTATGGACACAACCATAATAATTGAAAACAAAAAATATTCCCTTTGTAACAATAACCAAGCAGCCGTCGTAAGTTGTTTACGACAATAACGTAAAACCTTTGGAACGATTTCCGGCACCATGCTGTCGTTACAAATGTATGTCTCGAATTTGACTCTTTTTCAACGGAAACACGGGAAATCGACTTCTAATGCAATTGAGAAACTATTGCTTAAATGATTAAATACACAGGTCTTCCTTCTGAAGTAATATTTTCATTGAAATCGGCATGATTTTCTCACATGATTGGTCAAGGTAACCGTGAATATTTGTGAAAGGCATGCTCGTTGTCTTATCGGAATTTGTGTTCAGTAGGTCTAATTATTTTAATTTGATATACAGTCCTACAGCAATTAACTGCACCATATGTTTTGTTAAGACCAAAATGTATGACCAGCAAGCGATGGTCGATCTATTGTTTTCCGCTGACTGGGGTGGAGCGAGGTGTGAAAAATTTACCTGAAGTGGACCGATGATTACCTCGGGCGATGTACAGTTAGCCGGACCTATTACGTAATTGTCCAGGTGTTTCACATGGACAACTTACTTTTAAAATCAATTCACAGCAGAAAAAAAACACCATAATAAGCGGGTTCCTACCTTTGACCATATAATAATAAATGATATTTTTTTGCCTAGTTAAAGAAGGAAAAAATGGGTACATGGGGGAAAATCTCATTATAACCGATATATATATGTATATACATAATAACTGGGTTCCACTGTACCAAAAATGTTCTAACTTTAAAGTTACAAAGTTTTTCACAAGAATTGGCATTGTTTTCTGAGTCCAGAAAAGGTACAAAAAGTTATACCAAAAATATTCAAAGTTTTTCACCAGCATTGCAATTATTTTCTAAGTCCAGAAAAGGTACTAAAAGTTATACCAGAATTTTTTAAAGTCCAGAAAAGTTACAAAAAGGTACACTAGTAAAGTTTAAGTTTAAATTAAGGTATCGAAAAGTTATAACTTTTTTGTACCTTTTATCAGGAGTACAAAAAAGTTACTGAAAAGGTACGAAAAAGTTATACCTATTTGTAACTTATTTCGGTATGGGTAACCTTTTCTGGGAGCATAATCCATCAGTTTTACTGATTTTCTTGTTGGAAAGAAATGACAGCTCTTGTCTCAAATTTCATATGTTGATTCCCCTTGTTCAATTGTTTTTTTATACGCCCGTGGAATGATGTATTATGTTTTAACACTGGAGGGCACACATTAGTTTCCGCTCAATAACTTGAGTAATTTTTAATGGATTCATTTCAAACTTGGTAGGAAGGTTCATTGCCATGAATGCTTCGACAAGTTAGTTAAGCAAAATTATTTGCCGGCTATTTACGGAGTTATGGCCAATAACATGAGAAATGTTGAATGGATTCATTTCAAACTTCAGCCATAATTTATGGATTTACGGCCTTTTGTAGAATTGTTGGAACACAATTTCTGCCCAAAAACTTTATGCACTTATGGCCCTTTGTTGCAAACTGAAAACTCTTTACGTTATAATTTGAGCCTGCTCAGAAAAACAAGATGGCCATCTGCCATAAATGATGATTTTAAAGAACTTTTGAATCAAGTTGCCTAGAGCAATGGTATTTGGCTAGTAGGTACCTAGCCTGGAGTGCTATAAACTCTTCTTAAATAAATGACATTGACTTACTTTCAAGGTCACTGGAGTCAGCTATGTAAAAACCTATAAGAAAACTTGTAAAGAATAACTAGGAGGCTCAAAGTGATGATCTTTGGCCAGTTTTTACCTGGTATAGTGCTATCAAATGTCCTCAACTTGATGATCTTGACATACAGGAGACCTTGGGTGATATTTTACCATTGGCATACTAGAAACTGTAGTAAAACGTTTCATTTAGTCTGGAATATTCTTAAGCCAAACGGCCCAGGGAGATAATATTTGGCCAGTAATATTCTGGAATCAAGAGCAATCACTTTTGTTTAAATGAATAATTACCTTCCCCCATATTCTAAGGGTCAAACAAATTGAAAACAACTTATTCTGAATTACCATGCTTAGTGTGGTGATATTTGGCCAGTAAATGTCTCAGAATAAAGTGCTATCACTTTTGTTCAATTGAATAACCTTGACTCATATTCAAGGTCACAATAAACAAAAGGCCTAGGATGGTAATATTTGGCAATTAACATGTTAGAATGAGGGGCTTTGATGTCTGTGGAAATGAATGACCTTGACCAACCTTCAAGGTTACATGTCAAATGTGTGAAAACATAAGTGACTATTTCTGAATATTGAAGACATCTAAGGTAATATTTGGCCAGAAACATACTTGAATGAAGGGTTATAAAATTTGTGAAAATGCTTGACCTTGACCCAATTTCAAGGCCATATGTTTAAATTTGTTAAAACCTTTAATTGACTTCTGAATAATAAAAGAGGCCAGCTGAAGTTCATGATACATGTATTGTATTTACATTTGCATGGCATTGTCACTATATAATCTATTTGAAAGCTGTGTCGTTGATGGGACTTTATATGCCTTGCACCACGTGACACAACATGACGGCTGCTGAATATCGCTGGCATTGTGAGACTTGACGATGTAAATGTGTAAAAAGAAATTGAGAAAATGTTTAAAAATTACTTTCATTACAACAACAAAAAAGGTCTGCAATATCGTACAAATGCAAATCGGTTGAAATAACCAATGAAAACAATTTTAACACTCATACCATTTTATCAGAAATATCATCTGTTACACTGCACTGATCCACAGCACTGATCCACAGCACTGATTCACAGGGGTTTGTTACAAATGTCTGAAATACACATATGCTATACTGATCATATGGGTCAAAGCACACATACAAATATGTACACAAGGCATAGGTGTATTTAAGACATTTGTAACGAATCCCTGTGCTCTGTCACACAATCACTCGCTTCAAATGCTATCACGCGTCTATCGGCCACAGTTTCCCAAGTTTCTGACGACATGTCAAATAATGAGGCTGTTGTAGAATTTACCAACTGAAGTGGAGTTCCATGCAATCAACAAATAAATGCATGCTTAGATTCTTCACAAACTTTAACTTTTCTCATTGCTCATTCAACTTCCAAAAATAACTCCTTTGTGGACGGCATTACAGTGTTAATGTAGCAGACCCATTTTCCAGGGATAACAAAAAAACTTGTCTTAGGGTTCTTTCCTTTTATTCCGATCCATATGACAGACTAGTTGACCAAACTCTACAAATATACACAAATAATACTTACAAACATAATACATAAAAATATTAGATATACATATACAGAGATATACATTTCATTTTCCTTGTCAAATCTACAAAGACTGATCTTTACTTATATATTGAAAGAATTACTTTTATAACTAGAACACTGACAGGTCAGTAAGGGCCCCGTCTTGTGGCAATATATTCCCCATAATCATCAAGAAGCAATCTGCCCATATAGCTGAGCTTGACGTTTGACATTTGGACAAATGGCAGGCAAAATATACATATTGCATGTACTTTGATGTGAGTCTTGTTTCTTTCCACCTCCATATTTGCTGGGCTAACAAATGTAAATACCGGTGCAATACTCATTTGTTAGCTTTGATTTGTTTTATTTCACCTAATATATACCTCCTCCATCAAGAGCCAGGGTCAAAGTCAGAGATCCACTTTGTCTTTGACCCCAAATGACCTTGACCATTAACCCAGTGACCCTGATCTTTGGTCAGTTGACTTATCCTTTAATTCCGACCAACTTTGCTTTTTAATATCATAACAAAATGTTAATCGGTGAAAAATACAAAACTTCACCTTGACCCTTTGGACCCCGTAACCTGGACCTAAGGTCAGTTGCTTTATAATGTCATAACAAAATGTTCATCAGGGAAAAGGTACAAAATTTAACCTTCACCTTTGACCCAGTGACCTGGACCTTTGGTCAATTGACTCCTTGTTTAATTCTGAGCAACATTGCTTCAAAGTGTCATAGCGAAGTGCTCACCAGTGAAAAGATACAAATTTGAACCTTGACCTTTGACACAGACCTTTGGTCAGTTGACTCCTTGTTTAATTCTGATCAACCTTGCTTCATCATGTCATAACAAAATGTTCATCTGTGAAAAGATGCAAAATTTGACCTTGACCTTTGACCCAGTGACCTGGACCTTTGGTCAATTGACTCCTTGTTGAATTCTGAGCAACATTGCTTCAAAGTGTCATAGCGAAGTGCTCACCAGTGAAAAGATACAAATTTGAACCTTGACCTTTGACCCAGACCATTGGTCAGTTGACTCCTTGTTTAATTCTGATCAACCTTGCTTCATCATGTCATAACAAAATGTTCATCAGTGAAAAGATGCAAAATTTGACCTTGACCTTTGACCTCGACTTTTTACCTCAGTGTGTCTCTTTGTTTAAATCCGAACAACTTTGCTTCATAATGTCATAGCCAAATGTTCACCAGTGAAAAGCTATGAAATTTGACCTTGACCCCTGACCGGATGACCTTGACCTTTGGTCAGTTGACTCCTTGTTTGATTCTGATCAACTTTGCTTCATAATGTCATAACAAAATGTTCATCAGTGAAAAGATGTAAAATTTGACCTTGACCTTTGAACCTAATGACCTTGACCTTTTACCTTGACTTTTTACCTCAATATGTATTTTTGTAAACTGAACATCTTGACCAAGTTTCATGTACATAGGTCAATAAATACAAAAGTTATCAGCCAGGAACAAAATTTGTTAAATCTAATAAATCTTATCTTTACATAATTTATTAATTCATAGTTTTTCTTTCATTTACAGGTACAAATGTACCACTGGAGCAACATGGCCAAATTTCAAAGGGCTTGACATTGATGGTGTCAAGACTGTTATTGATCAATTCCATTATAACGATGATGTGAAGTACGGGAAATCCAAGATCTTTATCCGGTCGCCACAGACTTTGTTCGCCCTGGAGGAAGAGAGGGACAGATGTCTACCAAAGATCATCATTTTTTTGCAGAAGGTGTGCATTCAGACCTATAGTAATCATAGTTTCTGTCTGTCTTCAGACCTTTGGGAATCATAGTGTCTGTCCATCTTCAGACTCATAGTAATCATAGTGTTTGTCTGTCTGTCTTCACTTGCATTTCTGGAGATTATCTCAGAATTAAAAAGACTGATCATTCTGAAATTGACATAGTTCTTAAGTCAAGTCAAAAGTATTTTTTGCTTAAAATAGACCATGGGGACACAGTCAGACACATAGAAAGGCCATTGCTGACCTAATCAAGTATTCTTGTAAAAATGTTATGATTTTGATTTCAGAATTTGAGTACATCATGTATCCATTGTAAAACAGATGCTAATTTCTATTGCGAAAATTTCTATAATTTGGTCTGTATACAGCATAAAATTTAACTACTATGTACTTCTTAGTGATTTTTAGCTCACCTGGCACGAAGTGCCAAGTGAGCTTATGCCGTGGTGCGGCGTCCGGCGTCCGGCCGGCGTCTGTCCGGCGTCAATATTTTACTTTAAACGACTTCTTCTTAATAACCGAAAGGCCTAGGGTGATGATATTTGGCCAGAAGCAAACTGGGATGAAGGGCTACCAAGCTTGTTCAAATAAATGACTTTCATCTATTTTCAAGGTCACAGGGGTCAAATATGTTAAAAACTTTAAACAACTTCTTCTCAATAACCGAACTGCCCAGGGAGATGATATTTGGTAAGTAGCATGCTAGGGTGAAGGGCTACCAAGTTTGTTCAAATGAATGACCTTCACCCATATTCAAGGTCACAGGGGTCAAATATGTTAGAGACTTTAAACAACTTCTTCTCAATAACCAAAATGCCCAGGGTGATGATATTGGGCCAGTAGCTAGCTGAGATGAAGGGCTACAAAGTTTGTTCAAATGAATGACCTTCACCCATATTCAAGGTCACAGGGGTCAAATATGTTAAAAACTTTAAACAACTTCTTCTGAATAACCAAAATGCCCTGGGTGATGATATTTAGTCAGTAGCATACTAGGATCAAGGGCTACCAAGTTTGTTTAAATGTATGACCTTGAATCATATTCAAGGTCACAAGGAGCAAATATGTTTAAAATATTTCAACAACTTGTTCTGAATAACCAAAAGGCTCAGGATGTTGATATTTAGTTAGTAGCATATGCTGGGATCAAGGACTACTATGTTTGTTAAAGTGAATGACTTTGACTTATATTCAAGGTCACAGGGGTCAAATTTGTTTAAAATCTTTAAACAACCTCTTATGAATAACCATGGGTCTCAGGATGTTTATACTTTGCAAGTTGCATCCTGAGATGAAAGGCTATACAATGTGTTCAACATAATGACTTTGTTCGACTTTCAATCACAGGGGTGAAATGTTTTAAAAAAAATTAAAAGGGTCTTTTGAACGAATTTTAATCATAAATACTGATATTTTGCCTGTAGCTTTATTTTAGATCATTTTTAAGGTTACAAGTGTGAGTTTTATACCAGGTGAGCGATGCAGGCCCATTGGGCCTCTTGTTGGGTTTTTTTTCCGTGATTATTTTATCTCTTATACAGTAAATGTGAAATCAGCAAAGTTTTCAACCATATTTGAACTCTTTTACTTTGATTCCATAATACATACATGTAGTATTATATCATTATGACGGTTCAATAATCCTGCATTTCATCTCCTGTAAAATTCCTGTGATTATAATCAACTAGCATGATGAATGTAAATGAGCTGAAATGACTTTAATGTATTTGATTTTCTTTTTTGTCCTGCAGATGTGGCGTGGAGCCATTGCTCGGCGAAAGGCCAAGTTCATGCGTGCCATCTATCTAATCATGATGCGCTTCAGGAAGTACAAGATGAGGCGCTACATCAAAAGCTGTGTGGAACGGTTCAAGTCAGTAGCTTTATTTCTCACCTTGTGCTGATGACTGTTCTCAAATCTTCTGATTAAAACCTTAATTTACACTTGATGCCCACAATTTTATCAATAAATTAGAACTATTACAAACCAATGACTTTGTTCGGTAGCAATTTTGCACTCGTTCATTATGTCTCGCCTTCAAATGAAGGGAGACAAATTGTAATAGTTCTGGTTCTTATAGTTTGATCTTGTCCTGGCCGTAACTTTTGAACAATTAAAGATATCTTGAAGAAACTTGCAGTATACCTGCATCACTCACAGACGGTGTGCAGTGCACTATGCTTAAGTCATTGTGACCTTGACCATTAGGTTAAAGGTCTAATATGTACAACTTTTTCAGGAACATCTAGAGCCTTTTCGTTTATGCGGAAGAACCGATTTGTCCGTTTTTAAATTTAACAATTTTGGTATAAATCCTGGTGGACCTGCAAATGTTCATGCAGGCCCTGCAAGGCTTTGTCAAGGCTCGCCTGAAAGCAGCATCAGATTACTAGGTCCAAGTTTATTTGATAAATTAACAACTGTGGTCCGACTTGTTTAACTGTTTAAACGAAAACGCCCTAGTCTGGGCTGTAACTTTGACTGTAAAAGCATATTTTCGTTTGGGTTAAATTTTGTCGTTTTTGTATGGAGATAAATTTGTTGGGATTACATTTTGTGGAATATATAATTTAAAACCCTATGTAGTTTGGTAACATATGATGATAACACATAATGTACACATTAGACTCGCATAGACGTACATGCACCTTAATTGTCAGTAGTTCTTATAATAGCAGACAAGAAACATGTCCCTTCTTAAATGGTTTCAATCATCCAAAGTATGGGAGCCATCTATTCTTGGTAGAGGTGTGTATCGCATGGGTTCTGATGATACAAAACCTATCACGATACATGGGTCACAACACGATACATATCGTGATACTTATCACAACTTTCTTTACAAATCTGTTTTAATAGTTTTCCTTGACTTGAAGCATTTATAACCTTGATATGAAAGTTAAAAAAACAACCCACAAAGTGTTTGTATTCCATGCTCAATTAATCTGTTTTAAGTGATTTATTTTTAGTCACCTGGGGGAACCCCAGTGGGGACTATTAATTTCAGTTTCAGTCCCAGATTTTGACCTCTGTTGTCTTGGGCTGTTAAGTGTGTGCTTCTGTCAGAATATACCTGGCGCTAATTACAAGCTCTTGGATAACTCAGATATCGATTTCCATTTTAAACAGGAATAGCATAAAACCTAAAGGCATTCCAAATTTCACACAGGAATTACATTTAACCTAAAGATGTTACAAGTATAAATCGGGCACCTTTGAGGTTCCCGAAGGGGTAAACTGTCGTATTATAAATTGCTATTGATTGATTTAGATATTTTATGTCTGACCAACGACTACCGTTAATAATTGCGTATAGTGCACACTTTTTTAAGGAAAAATGAAGTGTCAAGAAAGGGGTGTACACATATTCAAGAACAATCCAAAACCAGTCATTGGTAGCGACCATTTTTTCGTAAATTTTTTGAAATTTTTTCAGAAATGTTTTGAAATATGCTCGCAGCAATAAACTGCGAAATTTCGTTGAATAACCAAGATTGGATTGAGAACCCGAGAAAAGTAGGCCCAACTTTTCAGGACGTTACATTGTGAATTGATAAATACCACTTATCGGAAAACATAACGAAGAATTACATCACATTTATCACTCTGGGGGTTAAAATGTCGTTCTTGGGTAAAATCATGCTGAACTGTACAATCTTGACAGTAGGAATGTGTCAAAACGACATGGGTAAAGTGGCAAAGTTAGCAAGTTTGTGTACCGCAAAGAGTCGAGGTCCCATGATACTATTAACCTGCAGGAATTTACAAGGTGACATCTCTGCGAATTGAACAGATAATGATAAAAGTTTGAGTTTGAAAAATAAATATTAATGGGTTCAAAACAGCCAAATACATTCCGATCTTTTCTTTGCAAAGGAGAATTGCTGAAATCACAATTGTTTGGTGTTCTTCATGTCTCGCGAATTTGGCTATTGGTGGTCCTCATTGGACCTGTTTGAGTGACTGCCTTTAAGTGTACACACTCTGCCGATATCAATGACTGATTCAGTCAGATTTGCAGACAATCAGAAATCTACTTGGAAAAGTGTATTTCTTATAAAAAAGAAAAGTAAAAGATTTCTCCGTATATAAGATTGAATCTTTTCTGAAACTTATTGTTGTGATACAACATCGTTATATTCCAATAACCTGTTAAGCCGATACCAGGTGACCGTGTCAGCGCGCAGATCTCCTCGTATTCGAGGTGTCGGTCAATGCTAAAGTTGTAATTGTGACATGCTTTCTTATTAATTCCATGTATTAGCATGGCTACCTGAACAGTGTGTATGTATTTACACCTGATCATTGTTTACCATTGTGATTGACAGGTGGAAATATATACATTGCATCTTGGTCAATTTATCGGAAAATGATCATACAGAATGATGGGGTGACTTTCATGTCAATCTGACATATTTCTAGTTTTTAGTTGTTTTAAATAAACACATTCATTCAGATGATTAATTATGATGGGAAATCTGATTACTCTAATGCCTTATCAAGTATCAAGTAATTTAGGTGTTGACTGTTGTCCCTTCAAGTAGGAGGAGATATGTTGAAATCTGGAACGGGTAGAGCAGGTGCTGTTGGTAATATATAATGTCGGTTTTACAAAAATTTGTTGGAGAAACTTTGATCCTATTGATAGGTATAATTTCCCTTTTTTTTCTGAAATAAATGATTTGTTGTTGTTTTCTAAGCGGCTGCAAATCCGACTGAATCAGACGGCGATACTGGAAGAGTGCGTTTACTTAAAGGCAGTCAGTCAAACAGATACTGACGAGGACCGCTAACAACAGAATTATGGAGTCATTAAAACACCAAACTCTTTAAGTTTCAGCTTTTCCTTCTCTTAAGAGACAAAAATGAAATGTATTTGACTGTTTTCAGTCCCTAAATAATTATCTTTTAAACTCTTATTGACATCATTGCCTGTTCAAACCGTAATTTAGGTGTCCCTCTGAGTTCCTGCCTGTTAATAGTATGTCACGACCTAGGCTCTTTACAATACAAAAAACCTCTAACTTCGCGACTTTCCACGTGTCGTGCTGGCACAATTGAATATTGAAGCATAAGTTTACACAAGAACGGTATAATGTGAGTCCTAAAATTACCATGCAATACGCCAACATATTTTCCCAATCACTGTACTTATCAGTTGAAATCGTCGAAGAGATCTGAAATTTTGGCCTACTGTACTGAAGTATTTTTTCATATTTTACCGTGTAATATAGATTTGAATTACGAATGGTTGTGATGGTAAAATAAGTCAAACATTCTGGAATTATTATGCGAAATTTTACCAGTTTATTGCCGCAAGTACTTTGCCGGTAAATGGTCACAATACATGACTGATAATTAGTCTAACTGGCCGTATACATGTATGTATAACTTTTTTAAAGTATCGCGATGCATCGGCACTCAAGAAATGATACGATTCATCGTCACATTGGTGAATCGTTACACCTCTAATTCTTGGACTTCCTTCACCAAATGGGGCTAGTTCTAAGGATAAAGCTGTTCAAATAAACGCATCTAAGGAGTTACAGCCGTGCGATTGTACAGTTAATGGTAAACTCAAATCACTGATCAAACTGTATGCAGTGGAGGAACTGGTGCATAACAAACAGTGCATTGTTGACGACCTCTGACTGGCCGGATTACTGAGGCCTGTAAATATTGACGTGTGCTGACGTAACGTTACCTGTGTAACAATAATGTTACAAATATAACGCTTGATAGACAGGCTGTTGTTATAAGTGTTTACCTCTGTGCCTGTGACGATAAATACACCGTTAATCATGACTTGTGTCTAAATGTAAATACACCATGGTTTTGTTATAAAATTAGTAGTTTATTTAATATTTTTGTTTAGTTTATATTTTGTGTGTTAAAATTTCGTTGGGATTATATAACAAAAGTACATTTGTAACGAAATATTATGCTTTAACAGTAAACTGTTAAAGATATCTTGATGGAACATGGAGTTAACCTGCATCACCCACAGACAGTGTGCAGTGCACTGTCATTAAATCATTGTGACCTTGACCCTTACGACAAAGATCAAATATGTGCATATTTTTTTTTAGGAACACATTTTTAGCTCACCTGGTCCGAAGGACCATAGTGAGCTTATGCCGTGGCACAGCGTCCGTCGTCAACTTTTTCTTTAAAACCTATCTCCTCCTAAACGCAAAAGAGGATTTCAACCAAGTTTAGTCTGAAGCATCACTACGAGATGGCAATCATTTGTTAAATAAATGACGTTGGTTCGACCCCTGAGGCCAGGGGGGTGGGGCCCTGTAGGGGAACTTAGCGAAATTTGCTTTAAAACGCATCTCCTGCTAAACACCAGAGAGGATTTCAACCAAATTTAGTCTGAAGCATCAGAAGGGAAGGGCAATCATTTTGTAAATAAATGAGGTTTGTTCGATCCCTGAGGCCAGGGGGCAGGGCCCTTTAAGGGAACTTAGCTAAATTTGCTTTAAAACTAGGGGAGGGCAATCATTTGGCAATCAAATACAGTCTGAAGCATCACTAGGGGAGGGCAATCATTTCTTAAATAAATGAGGTTGGTTCAACCCCCGAGGCCAGGGGGGCAGGGCCCTGAAGGGGAACTTAGCTCTTAGAACTTAGAACTGAGCCATAAAACGCATCTCCTCCAAAACGCCTGGGAAGATTTCAACAAAATTCGCTCTGAAAATTCATTGGGGGAGGGCAATCATTTCCTAAATAAATGAGGCTGGTTTGACCCCTGGGGCTAAGAAGACCAGGCCCCAAGGAGGAAAATTATCTAATATTTTGCCGTAAGATGCTAATTATACTCCCTAATTGCCTGAGTGGATTAATTGTACAAAATTTGGTCAAAAACATTAATGAGGAAGAAGAAACATTTCTTAATTGAATGTGGTTGATTTGACCCCTGCGGTCCTAAGAAATGGTACAGCTAGATTATCATATTCTATGGTGTAGTTTTTAGGTCACCTGAGCTTTGCTCAAGTGACCCATTCCAATCACTTTCCGTCCGTCGTCGTCTGTCGTGCGTAAACTTTATACATTATCAACTTCTTCTCAAGAACCAGTGGATGGAATTTTTTCAAACTTGGTCAGAATCATCCTTGGTAGATGAGGCTACCAAATTGTAAAATTGGGATTCCTACCCAAACCCTATGGGCCAGGGCGGAGCCCAAAAGGGAAAATTAACCAATATTTCAAAAATCTTCTTCTCCAGACTCAGAGGTATTATAGTCATTTTCTCTGCATGGATGGAAAGATCATCAGGGGCTTTATTTAAATTGTAAATTTCAGGACCCCCGAGCTATCTATTCTCCCTTGGGGAGAGGGTAAAGTTTACTAGTTTATATAGGGAAACAACACTTTTGGGTATATTTTGACAATTTTCTTTTGGAAATTATTCTTACTTTGTGAGAATTATCCTTAAAGGAAGATAGTTTTAAATTGTAAAATTGGAATTCCTACCCCAACCCTAGGGGCCAGGGCTGGGCCCCAAAGGGAAAATTAACCAATATTTCAAAAATCTTCATCTCCAGACTCAGAGGTATTACAGTCATTTTCTCTGCATGGATGGAAAGATCATCAGGGGCTTTATTAAAATTTTAAATTTCAGGTCCCCCCGAGCTATCCGTTCTCCCTTGGGGAGGGGGTATTTTACTATAGTCTATATAGGGAAACAACACTTTTGGGTATATTTTGACGATTTTCTGTTGGGAATTATTCTTACATGGTGAGAATTATCCTTAAAGGAAGATAGTTTTAAATTCTAAAATTGGAATTCCTACCCCAACCCTAGGGGCCAGGGCTGGGCCCAAAAGGGAAAATTAACCAATATTTCAAAAATCTTCATCTCCAGACTCAGAGGTATTACAGTCATTTTCTCTGCATGGATGGAAAGATCATCAGGGGCTTTATTAAAATTTTAAATTTCAGGTCCCCTCGAGCTATCTGTTCTCCCTTGGGGAGGGGGTATTTTACTATAGTCTATATATGGGAAACAACACTTTTGGGTATATTTTGACGATTTTCTGTTGGAAATTATTCTTACATGGTGAGAATTATCCTTAAAGGAAGATAGTTTTAAATTCTAAAAGTGGAATTCCTACCCCAACCCTAGGGGCCAGGGCTGGGCCCAAAAGGGAAAATTAACCAATATTTCAAAAATCTTCATCTCCAGACTCAGAGGTATTACAGTCATTTTCTCTGCATGGATGGAAAGATCATCAGGGGCTTTATTAAAATTTTAAATTTCAGGTCCCCCCGAGCTATCCGTTCTCCCTTGGGGAGGGGGTAATTTTACGATAGTTTATATAGGGAAACAACACTTTTGGGTATATTTTGACGATTTTCTGTTGGAAATTATTCTTACATGGTGAGAATTATCGTTGAAGGAAGATGGTTTTAAATTATAAAATTGGGATTCCTACCCCAACCCTAGGGGCCAGGGCGGGGCTCCAAAGGGAAATTTAACCAATTTTTCAAAAATCTTTAATGATTTTCTGTTGGAAATTATTTTTACTTGGTCAGAATCATCTTTGGTGGATGATGGTATCACATTGTAAACTTGGAATTCCTGCCCCATCCCCAGGGGTTAGAGCTGGGCCCCAAAGGGAACATTTACAAATATTTTAAAATTCTTATCCTTTGATGACATGACAAGTATTGTATTTCACTTAGTTTACATGCTGATTTCCACATCACATCTAAACAATAAAATAAAGCTACCAGTACCTATGATATAACTCAGGTGACCGCTAAGGCCCTTGGGCCTCTTGTCATAAATTGTTAAAAAATGGTTTCTAGGTTTATAAAAGCTTACAGTTGAATGAAAATTAAAGTATTGTCTAATTACACCATGTAATATCACATATTACTTATTTCAAAATCTGTTAATATGGCAACTCAATGGAGGCCCCTGATTAGTTGAAAGTCAGATATTGTGGTCCCAGTTGGGTTAGAACATAGCTCCTGTCTGGTTTTGATGAAATTTCATATAAAGATGTACTAATGCATTCAGTTGAAATGACTTGTATATAAAACCAGGTGAGCGATACAGGTCCAATGGACCTCTTGTTTAACAAAGAATGCGATCAGCATTACATATGACGATATGGCATATATTTAGCTCACCTGGTCCGTCGTCCGGCCAGCCGGCATCCGGCGTCAATATTTTACTTTAAACAACTTCTTACCAAAAGGCCTAGGGTGATGGTATTTGCCCAGAAGCAAATTTGGATGAAGGACTACCAAGTTTGTTCAAATAAATGACCTTCACCTATTTTCAAGGTCACAGGGGTCAAATATGTTAAAAACTGGCTAGTAACATGCTGGGATGAAGGGCTATCAAGTTTGTTAAAATGAATGACCTTCGTCCATTTTAAAGGTCGCAGGGGTTAATTGTCTTAAAAAATCTTGATACAACTTCTGCTGAATAACTAAGAGGCCGAGGCTAATGATATTTGGCAAGTAACATGCTAGAATGAAGGGCTACCAAGTTTGTTCAACTGAATGACCTTTACTTATATTCAAGGTCACAGGGGTCAAATATGTTAAAAACCTTTAAACAACTTCTTCTCAATAACCAAAACGCCTAGGATGATGCTTTTTGGCCAGTAGCATGCTGTAATGAAGGGCTGCCAAGTTTGTTCGAATGAATGACCTTGACTTATATTCAAGGTCACATGGGTCAAATATGTTTTAAACCTTTTAACAACTTCTTTTGAATAACTATATATAACCAAGAGGCTTAGGATAATGATATTTGGCCAGTAGCATGCTGGCAAGAAGTTATACCAAGTTTGTTCAAATGAATGACCTTGACTTATATTCTAGGTCACAGGGGTCAAATATGTTTAAAACCTTTGAACCACTTCTTCTGAATAACTACGAGGCCTAGGGTTAAGGTATTTCGCCATTAGCATGCTGGGAACAAGGGCTACCTATTTTGTTCAAAAGAATTACCTTGACTTATATTCAAGGTCACAGGGGTCAAATATGTTAAAAACCTTTTAACAACTTCTTTTGAATAACTATATATAGCTAAGAGGCATAGGGTTAAGATATTTGGCCAGTAGCATGCTGTGATTAAGAACTACCAAGTCCATTCGTCCATTTTCAAGGTCACAGCGGTCAATTGTCTTAACAAATCTTTAAACAACATCTTCTGAATAACTAAGAAGCCTAGGATAATGATATTTGGCCAGGATAAAGGGCTACCAAGTTTGTTCAAATGAATGACCTTGACTTATATTCAAGGTCACAGGGGTCAAATATGTTTAAAACCTTTAAACAACTTCCTCTCATTAACCGAAAGTCTTAGGATGATGTTATTTGGCCAGTAGCATGCTGGGATAAAGGGCAACCAAGTTTATTCAAATGAATGACCTTTACATATATTCAAGGTCACAGGGGCCGATGATATTTGGTCATTAACAGGCTGGGATGAAGGGCTACCAATTTTGTCAAAATGAATGACCTTCGCCCATATTCAAGGTCACAGTGGTCAATATATGTTTAAATCTTTAAATGACTTGTTCTGTATAACCAATAGATCCAGGGTTATGATATTTTGCCAAAAGCATGCTTGGTTGGAAGACTTTAAACTCTGTTCAACCTAATGTCCTTTTTCTACATTCAAGGTCACAGGCGTCATATGTTTAAATCTTTTAATAGGCTCTTATGAGTCAAACNCTCACCTGCTCGAAGGGCTAGTGAGCTTATGCCATGGTGCGTCATCCGTCCGTTAACTTTTCCTTTTAACAACTTCTGAAGAATGGACAGGCCTAGTGGGTGATAGCTTCGTTGGAAGGAGCCTGACAAGGTCACAGGGGTCAAATATGTCAAAAACTTCAAACGACTTCTTCTGAAGAACTAAATGATATAGAATCTTCATATTTGGCTGTTTGCTTCATGAGACAGAGCCAGACAAAGTTTGGAAATGAAAATAACCTTGACCCACTTTCAAGGTCACAGGGGTCAAATGTCTTAATAACCAAAAGGCACAGGGTACTGAAATTGGGCCTGTAGCATGCTGGGATGAAGGGCTACCAAGTTTGTTCAAATGAATGATCTTGACACACTTTCAACCTAATGTCCTTGTTCTACATTCAAGGTCACAGGCGCCATATGTTTAAATCTTTTAATAGGTTCTTACGAATCAAAAGCTGATATTCTGCCTACGTATACATGAACTGTATTTTAGTCCACTTTTATGATTACAAGGGTGAGATTAATACCCGGTGAGCGAAGCAGGCCCATTCAGCCTCTTGTTCAATTGAAGATTTTTTTTAAGGTGACAACAGATAAATGTTTTTGATTTTGTTCCTTCCAGGAATGTACGTAACATGAAGGACTTTGGAAAGTCAATTCAGTGGCCAAAGCCTCCCTCTGTACTGGAAGGCATGGTTGCATTGCTACAGAAGACACATGGTCGGTGAGTTGAAACATCATCATTGAGATTGTATGCTTTCTCATAGTCACACACATCTTTCCAAAAGACTTCGGTCCCCGAAAAAGATAAAATCTTTTTTTAAGCCTCTCTCGACAGGAGCCGGGCGGCTTATTAATTTTGATTGTGGTTGTAGACTGAAGTCATGCGGTGTGTTAAGTGTGTTTAATTTCTATAGTTAATTATGTTATAGTAAAAAGAAAGTAAGAAGCTATGCTACTCACCTAGCTTATATCAAGCCCTCTGTCGTTCTTTTCCAAATATAAAAATGCTAATAAGTTGTAAGCCTCTGGTGTGTCTTGTATGTAGTTCGACTGTCAGAATGCGGTTGAGGTCAGTAGAATGTTTTATTCAAGTTCTTTGATCACTCGAGATTAAAGCGTTTACATGTCACGGATTTATTTTCAACATGTGGTGTTTCTAATTTATTTTAGTTCTTTGGCAAGTAAAGTAATGCTCCAGTTTATTTCAGTTCTTTGGTTAGTAAAATGATGACATGTATAAAAAAACATCTGAAGGTGGAAGTATGACCACATACATAATGTTGCGAATGGCGGCGAAATTTATTTGCTGTGCTTAGGTAGACATGACAACATGGGCAAGCATATAGGGGATGTAAACAACAGGGTTCGCACAGACCTTGAAAAGTGCTTGGTTTTTGAGGCAGTCTATGAAAAGTGCTGAATCTGGCATAAATGGAAAAAATAGTTGTGGAAAAGTGCTTGATTTTCATGAAAAAGTGCTTGAAATACTTCACCCAGTTCTTGAATATGATCTCATGTCGATTTAAATAAAAATAATTATGAAAATTGCGTTGCAGTGCTTTTTTGCGGCAATAACTGTCCTATACTATTAATCAAACCATTGTGCAGATCATCCAGACGCTTGAATATACCTGCCTCTTATGTCACAAATCAAGCGTCTGTACGGCACCATATATTGGAACCTTCAGTGTTTTTAGGTTTCAGTCAAGCGGCATGGCATGCTTCGGTGACAGAGATAATATGTTTAGGTAGCAGAGTACAGTAGAAATGGCATTACCCTAAAAATAAAGGGCATGTCTTGGATAAACATGGATAGCGGATTCATCCTGCACAACACGCCTACATATATATATATATATATTGATAAACTACATTTTGAACACGTTTTTTTAGAAGAATGAATATTTTTTCAAAAAGTGAATTCCCCAGATTTGGGACTTGTGAAAACCATGGTTACCGCATCGAAAATGCAAAAAAAATTGCAAAAAAACATGATTTTTAACCCAAAATTTGACCCACAGAAGTAGTATTTTTCTTCTTAAAACCTGTCTAAAATTAAATATCACCTACTCGGTCACAGATACTCACATTTTAGCATAGGTCGTCAAACTAGATTTTTCTCAATATTTACACATGTGCTGAGTACAAAAATAGACTACGTGAAAATTAAAGCTAGCTTTTGTTGTGTAGACACAGATTCGTAAATGGCCAAAAATTTAGTCTCAAGCCAAATTCGATTTTTTTTTTTTTTTTAAATGTGAAGCCAACATAGTCCAATTCATCATGTATATGCCAATTTTAGAGCTGTTTTTTTAAACTTTTGATACATGTAATATTACAGGGGTTATTCATTGTACAAAAATATCACCCATGGCCACCGTACGCTTACTGTACACTGCTTCCTTATACATCCCTTTCTTTTTCCCAAAATTTAATCAAAACCTTTTGAATGTCTGGAAAATGACACAATGAACAAAAAGATGTATCCGTTTCCTTTCTCACTTTAATAGTGACCGAGTAATATGAATTCTCCTGACAGGAGAATTTTTACCAATTCTGCTCTCAAACTACCAACAAAGGGAGGTAATCTGAAAAATTAAAACTTGAATAGGTTTGTAGTTTTCATGAATAACATTTCTTTTTGGGTGAAATATGATGCTTTGAGATCATGTGCCTGTGAAAAACAAAACAGCACAGTGATACTATGATGTTTCTGTCTTGTTTGATGACGTCATAGTAACTGTGATGTCATAACTATGACGTCATCAATGGGCATCTATGACATCAAAATGAGCACTAGGAAACACATCACAACAACAAACTAGCAACAGACACACTTCCCGTAAGTTTTTCAAATTAAATAATTTTATAATTTTAAAGGTAATATTTTGATCAGTCTTTTCTTCCCCCTCCTCTAACAGAAGAGTTGACATACCTTGGACTTCTTTTTTATTTTGAAGAAAAAGAAACTAAATGGATTATTAATCTCACAATATTCAAAACTTTGCCTGACAAATAAAGTCATAAAATATTAAGTGTCTTTAATTTCAATAGCACTTACAACAAAAAGCAAATGCAAAATGTCATAAGTCAAGAAATGCTTGTCACTAAAATGTCTTAAGTCCTTAAATCCGTCAGTAAAATGTCTAAGTATTAAAATCCGTGTCAGTAAAATGGCAAAGTAGAAAATTCCAAGAGAATTCCACCAAAATTTATTCTAAGTTCTAAAAATCCGCCTGGACCTATACTTCTACATAAATACGCCCGTGATGCAGAAAATAACTGTCTGGGTTTTTCATTGGACATTGATATTTTCACAAAAATAAAGTTTGTTAGTGCTATTTCTCAGAAAGCATCAGAGGGAAATTTTTCAAATTTCACAAGAAAGTTCCCCATCAAGTTTGACATCTAATTTTGAGACTGATTAGAAAACAAAGATTGCTGATTTTCCATTGTCTCTACATATGGATGTTAATTTTTGGGACTGATCGGAAAAACAGGATAAATCACCAGACAGCCAGCTTGAAGCTTGACAGTTAACTATTTTATCTGTATGTTTACCTTGGTCTCCTTGATAAAAATCTCCCTTGCCCTTATCAGAATTCATCTGTCATTGATAGCACAGGAGTTAAAAATAATTCTCAAAAGATTGCCCCATTAAATGCATAGTATACCATAAAATGTTTTTTAAGTAATTGCAAATATTATGATATCAGTTATTAACTATTAAATTGTAGTGGTGGATTTATTTGCCTTTACTATATTATTTATAATGATTTAATTTTAATTTCTAAATCTGGTCTGCCGATGTGACTTCCTGTTTGATAAACATTGACATTTTTCAGGCCAACAATGTCCTTCAGTTGTTAACTAGTTCATCCTTGATCTATTCCTGTTGTATATTTTAGCTGCAGTTTCCTTTATTTTCATCTGCCGTAGAGTATGAAAAATGGTCTGAATTAATTAAGGTCACTTTTAACAGTTGAACATCTAGGAGTTGAACCTACTAGCAAATTAGGGTTCAAACACTGCCTTATACTGAAAACTTGTAACCTTGATATGCCTAATAAATTTCACTTTAAAAAGTATTTTAAAAACGATGTTTTTGGTTATTTTAGTATAAAATATGATCTACAGGTGGCGTGCACAAATGATACTACGACACCAGCCCAAGTCCGAATGGCCTGTGTTACGACTCAAGGTTACAGCACAGGAAGTGCTCAGAGGTCTGAGGTCAGACTGGGGATACCGCAGGAAGTGGGAAGCCAACTATCTTGCATCCGTAAGTATTCTTTCTGGCTGATTCTTTTTTGACAGACAGTTGTGCATAAATTATGTCAGATGTAAGAGAACTGTATAAAACATAATGCGTTTTTTAGCCCACCATCATCTGATGGTGGGCTATTCAAATCACCCTGCGTCCGTGGTCCGTGGTCCGTGGTCCGTCCGTTGTCCCTCGTCCGTCGTCCGTCCGTAAACAATTCTTGTTATCGCTATTTCTCAAGAAGTACCAGAGGGATCTGACTCAAATTTCATATGTAGATTCCCCTTGGTCCTGAGCTGTGCAGGGCAACTTTTGAGACTGATTGGATAAACAACATGGCCGACAGGCAGCCATCTTGGATTTTGATAGTGAAAGTTTGTAACCGCTATTTCTCGGGAAGAACTAGAGGGATCTTTCTCAAATTTTATATGTAGGTTCCCCTTTGTCCTTAGCTGTGCAGGGCAACTTTTGAGGCTGATTGGATAAACAACATGGCCGACAGACAGCCATCTTGGATTTTGATAGTGAAAGTTTGTTACCGCTATTTCTCGGGAAGAACTAGAGGGATCTTTCTCAAATTTCATATGTAGGTTCCCCTTGGTCCCTAGCTGTGTAGGGCAACTTTTGAGACTGATTGGATAAACAACATGGCCGACAGGCAGCCATCTTGGATTTTGATATTGAAAGTTTGTTACCGATATTTCTCCGGAAGAACCAGAGGGATCTTTCTCAAATTTTATATGTAGGTTCCCCTTTGTCCTAGCTGTGCAGCCATCTTGGATTTTGCTATTGAAAGTTTGTTACCGATATTTCTCCGGAAGAACCAGAGGGCTCTTTCTCAAATTTTATATGTAGCTTCCCCTTTGGCCTTAGCTCTGCAGGGCAATTTTTGAGACTGATCGGATAAACACCATGGCCGACAGACAGCCATCTTGGATTTTGCTATTGAAAGTTTGTTACCGATATTTCTCCGGAAGAACCAGAGGGCTCTTTCTCAAATTTTATTTGTAGGTTCCCCTTTGTCCTTAGCTGTGCAGGGCAACTTTTGAGACTGATCGGATAAACAACCTGGCCGACAGGCAGCCATCTTGGATTTTGATAGTGAAAGTTTGTTACCGCTATTTCTCGGGAAGTACGGGATGGATCTTTCTCAAATTTTAAATGTAGGTTCCCCTTCAACCCCTTGTTGTGTATGTTATATTTTGAGACTGATCATAAAAACAAAATGGATTAAAAGAAGAACTAAACAGATTTTTCTCATATTGCAATGATCGATTCTATTTCTTTCACATTAAGTACTGTACTAGTAAATATGTGAATTGACAAACTCACTTTAAAGGTTGGCTTTCATATACATCAGTATTAAGTTTAGATCAAAAGTTACCTCAAGGTGCATTTACTGTTAACATGACTCGATCAAACAGATTAAAGGAAAGAAGAGAAAAGATCGAACTAAAAAAGAACTAATGAAGATGGTACAAAGGTGGGCGCCAAGATCCCTCTGGGATCTCTTGTTCTCTCATTTGTTTTGATGTTTTGTACACAAGCATGTGTGTTAAGTGTAACAGTTGTATGTAAATTTATCTGACATACATTAGATGTACTCTTACTGACATTCTTTTACTCTTACCATAAAACCATGAGGAGTAGCTGGTTTGAATCCAAAAAGAATGAGCACATGAACATTTAAGTGATGAGTTTTGTTAAAAAGTTGACATATTTTTTTTTTCTATAAAACTTATTTCATTCATTCAAAATAAACTATAAACAACTTCCATGATATCGTTTGATACGGTCATCGGAATTTCAAGCGTCAAATTGACAGCTGCTTTGATTCGCGGGCGACATCTGGTTCTACACCATGTCGCATAATTTAAAATACTAAACTAAAAACACCAGAAAATGGATTCCAAAGGACTGACTAAAATAAGCGATGCATTCGAGGAAGCTACAAAGTGTTGCGAGACACACATCTGCGTGAAACTGTTGTATGACAAATACTTCACCTGTGACACATCCGAGTAGTCTTTCATGTCCTTTACCCAAAGGTCAGCTAGGAAACGCACCATTTTTTCTGTTGTCTCGCAAATTGTCAGCTGTTGTTTAAGGATAAAGTCAAAACACATAAATATTGCATTTACTGCCTCCCTGTTCCTGTCAAGTTCTATATCCCCAAGTTCAGTAACCCCTCTGTCACAGAATGGAGAAGTGGACAAAGAAGAGATTGATTTGGTGGTACCTTGTTAAACTTTATTAAAATTATGATTTCAAAAAATCTAACCTTGTCCTTGATTTTCATCTTACACTTTGTAAAGAATTTGTTACAAATTTTAAATAGAAACAAAAATGAATAAAGAAATATGTCAGAATGCACCTCAGAGCTTCTAGAATTCAAATTTTTTTCAGGGGGAATCCCCTAACCCCAAACATGGCTTCTCGCCTTCGGCACTCGCGCTTCGCTGTGCGCAAGACATCTTGTATATTCCCAATTCCAAAGGAACAGGTTGTTGTAAAATGGAAGTAAAAAAAACACTGATTATTTCTCAGAAAGTACTGGAGGGATCTTTCTCAAATTTGATTTGAAAGTTCTTCTTGGTCCCTGGGGGTGCATATTTACTTTTGAGACTGATGGGATAAACAAACTGACAGACCAGCAGCCATTTTTACATTCAACCTAGAAGGTTTATTTCTCAGGAAGTACAGGAAGAATCATTTTCATATTTCCCTGGTAGTGCATATTTATCAGTTCATTTTTGAGACTGTTTGGATAAACAAAATGGCCCACAGGTGGCCATCTTGGAATTTGACAGTGTAGCTTTGTTATCATTATTATCCCCCGCTTTCACCGAAATGGGGGATATTAATTTGGGTCTGTCTGTCCGTCACACTTCGTTTCCTTGCAATAACTACAAGAAATGTTAACCGATTTTCTTCAAACTCACAGGGTTAAATGCCTTAAGGGCTGGACCAAGTTCAATGACCACTTTCAGCAGACCCTATTTGGTGGAATTATGGCCCCTTGAATAATGAAAAACGTCATTATCTGCCGTGCTTCGTTTCCGTGCAATAACTACCACAAATGCTAACCAATTTTCTTCAAACTATGTCACAGGGTTAAATACCTTAAGGGCTCGACCAAGTTCGATGACCACTTTCAGCAGACCCCATTTGGTGGAGTTATGGCCTCTTGAATAACGAAAAAATGTCATGTGCCGTTTCTGTTCATTAACTCTTGCAAATATTATTTGATTGTCATCAAACTTAGTAACAAGGTTCAACGCATTGAGGACACAGCCACGTTTGACAACCACTTTAATTGGACTCCATTTGGCAGAGTTATGGCTCCTTGATTAACGGAAAAACGTCATTATCTGCAGTTTCCGCTTAATAACTCGAGCGAATATTAGCAAAATTACTTCAAACTTGATAACAATGTTTGTGTTCCTCTGTCTTTCCACCCATTTCGGGCACTCTTTGGATTTCGTGTGAAAATTGCTGTAGATATTATTCAGATGTTTCAACCGAATTCCGTATGCACATCTGACTCGTGCTAAGTTTGCCAACCGATGTGATTTGTGCATATTTACAGATAATCAATGAGGTAAAGGGCTTTTTTTCTTGTTTCAAGCTATACATTATGTCTCAACTGCACGATACTCACATGTTTAAACCTAACCTCAATAACCTACAGTACGTCCTGCAAGCGGGGGATATAAATTCCTAGGATTTGCTTGTTTCTCAGAAAGTACTGGAAGGATCTTTTTCAAATTTGATAAATAAGTTGCACGTGGTCCCTTGTTGTATTTGCTTTTTTGAGACTGATCGGATCAACAAAATGGTCGACATGCAGCCTTCTCTGATTTTGACAGTTATAGTTTGTTATTGCTATTTCTCAGAAAGTAGCAGAGGGGTCTTTCTCAAAGTTCATATGTAGTCTTAATGTGAAGCATGATCTGGTAAACAAAATGGCTGACCAACGGCCATCTTGTATTTTGACCGTTAATGTTTGTTTATGCCATATTACTCAGTAATTACTGGATTGATCAGTTCCCCTTGTTTTATAAGGTAATACGATTGTGTCACCATTTCTCAGTTATATTGCTTTAAAGTAAAGAAAATTTTCTGCCACAAAAAAGATATAGGTTGTCAGAATTTTAAGGATTTTAAATGGAAATTTATGTAAAGAGGAGTGAATTTGGAAAAAAAAATGAAAGACACAATATTTTTACAAAATAATGTCAATAAAAATGATACTGACATATATTAGTATTGCATTAATGTATATCAATTTAATAAATGCTGAAATTGTGTAAAATTAATTCTCTAAAGACGATATATAAATTGACATTTTATAATAAAACCATATACACATAGAAATTGCAGGTAAGACTTATCGTTCTTGAAAAACTTCACTGTAGTGAAATAGGTAGCCGGTTTCCTGAAGTACAGAAAAATTGACACATATGACTCATTGATAAAAAAACCTGAATTAATGCCTGGATTGCTTTGAAATACTTTAATATTGAGAGAACACACTGTTTTGTCAATAATAAACATACAATATTCATCAGTTTAAAAGTAAACATTAGAATTTGCGGAAATTGTGATACTGTCTCCCTACATTGGATTTTCAACAAGGAATGTACTTCCTGTTTCCGTTTATCAATACACTCCAATGACCTTTTGGATGTGCATGTTTGTTTTTCAAACTGATGAAATAAATAAAAACGTTGACAGGCAACCATCCAGAATTTTGACAAGAAAAGTTAGTTATCGCTATTTCTCGGAAAGTGCTGGAGGAATTGTTCTCAAATTTGATCTCAAATCTCAAAGTTGTGCATGTTTCATATTGAGACTGATCTCAAAAAAAACATGGCCACCAGGCAGCCATCTTGTATTTTTATAAAGTTTGTTATTTTTCACTTGACAGATATTTCTCAAATTTCATATGAAGGGTCAGCAGTTATGTATTATTTTCAGATTGATTGAAAAAAACAAGATGACTGCACGATAAATAAAAGAATATTATCACTATTTTCCAGGAAGCACTTTACAGATCTTTCTCATATTGCAATTATAAATCAGTTCTATTTCTTTCACTTTAAGTACTGTACTAGTTTGGAAAGGCAAACTCACTTTGAAAGTTGTCTTTTATACACGGCAGTATGAAGTTTAGATAAAAAAATACCTGAAGGTGCATTTGCAAAACTGTTTACATGACTCGATCAAACAGATAAGATAACAGCAGAGAAAAGATCGATTTGAAATAGAACAAATGAATTATACTAGGTACAATGGTGGATGCCAAAATCTTTCTGGTAACTTTTGTTTATACTGCAGTCTGTACCCAGACTGATTTTTAGGTCTAGTCAAAAAATCTTTTTTTTTGTGTCTTTTTTTTTTAGGCTAACCATTATCAGATGGTGGGCTATTAAAATCACCCTTCATTCAGTTGGCCAAGACGGCCTAGTGAACTTATGCCGTGGTGCAGCATTGTCATCGCGTCCATCTATTGTCAACTTTTTTGTTAATGACATCTTCTCAATGCCCAATAGACCCAGGGTCTTCAATCATATTCAAGGTCACATGGTCAATATGTTTAAAACTTCTTATGACTTTTAAAAAATGAAAATTGAAAAGGTGCACTGATATATTAAACCAGTAGCATGCACAGATAAAGAGCTACAAGTTTGTTCATATGAATGACCTTGATACATTCAAGGTCACATCTGTTCCATTGTGTATAAACCTTTTAAAGTCTCATCTTCTCAATAGGCAAACATTCTAGGGTGGTGATATTTCGTAACTTGCATTCTGGGATGAAGGGCTATAAATTTGTTCAACTTACTGTCCCTGTTTGACTTTCAAGATCACAGAGGTCAAATGTGTTTAAATCTTTTAACAGGTTCTTTTAAACTTTATTTATCTTCTTTTATTTCTTTATTTTTTTTGCCGTTTCCAGTTTTGGTTTTGACCGCCTATTTAAGATATTACTCTACATTTCGCATGATTTATTATTGTTGTTATTATGTTTATTGTTTTGAAAACTGTTGTACCAGATCTCCTTCCTCTTATATACTCTCGCAGGCGGCTGAAGTATCCCAGGTATACATACAAATATTAGCTTGTTGCTGCCTAGATGAATGCCTCGCCTTTACAGAGTTTATGTTTATTATTACTGTTTGTTTTTATGTGGATCGATTGAGGCTTTCTGGACACCAAAATTTATTTAACAGTGTACCTGAAAGTTTGTTGATTTGATATTTATCAATCTATTAAATGAGAATTCTTCTCTTTGAAAAATTTGAAGATGCATTATATTGTTAATAATTTCAGGATTAAAGAAAGAGAAAAATAATAGCAAATATGAAAACATTTTAATTTTGAAAATATTTGTCAGTTAATTACCTGTATTGGTTTGATACAAATTGGAAACAAATGGTCTTGGCCGCAAAAAAAAAAACAGTTGGAAAAACATACTCTTACCTGCACAGTTCACTAGGTGTGATGAAGCCTATTAAGCAGATTCGGTTTAATTGCATTTACATATTCACAAAGTCATCCCACATTTTCATCCTCTTTTGATCTTTTAACAAAAAATAATGTTGCATACTATGGTTCATGTACAGACTACAGCTAATTAAAATAGTGACAATATTGTAAACAATTTCAATGATGAATTTATAGCTGAATTCACACTCCCTAGTATGTATTTGTTGTGTTTTAATTGTAGGCATACAATACCAATGAATTATATTTCAAATAGTCTCATATCCATAGTATGATATTTCTTCACTATTAAAGCTGACGGTGCATGTTAAAAAGCTTTCAATTGAGATTTAAGAAAGAAAAAAAAAAGAAAAAAAATCCTCAGAAACAATAGTCAGATGAGATAGTCACTGGGGAAGATCTCAAAACAAGAAATGATCTCAATTGAAAGCTTTTTAACTTGCACTGTCAGCTTTAAGATTCATTTTTGTTTTTTATAAGGTTAGATTTCCATATCGCATGGTTATTTGATTAAAATACAGGATAAAGTCGATCTTTATTTCTTTTGGAATAACAGATTCTTGTGAATGCATCTGATTACAATTTCTTGTGCGTTCATCAAAAATTTTGACGAAACATGTTACGGTATGTAATGGGGAGTAGGGGTGAAACGATTCACCGCTGTATTGGATCGCAAGGGCTGCGTTACGATGCACCGATGTGGCAAGACTATATTGTGATACCCATGATACTTTTCATTTTGTACTCTCCCTTGTTGGAACCCTTCAAAGAAAAAATAGTTTTAGCACTCAACAAACCAAAATGGTGGACAGAGAAGGAGATGAAAAATATGTCAAGGCATCTCCACATTTCAAGTCTCCTACCTCACAATGGTTTACTTAAAATCTACTAATTTATATAAATCCAAAGATAATGTATTTGAGACAGACAAATTGTTCTTTTATTGCAATGAATGTCGGAGAAAACTGAAATATGCGGGAAATACCGCGAAGGTGCACACGCAATATGACTCGTCAAAACTTCGATCTTTACTGTACCAGTTTGCATCTATAACATTAGAAAAGGATATGTCAAAACAAGTCAGTCTTACTTTTATGTTTGGGGAATAAAGCTGAAATGTTGGTATTTTATGTTATTTATATTGTACCTATTAAAAGTTTGAAGACAGGTTTTAAATAACTGCTTAATTCGCATTGTATATATCTATCAGATATCGTGATACGTCAATTTTGATGAATCTTGTTATGTTTAAACATTATAAGAAGACTGCATGAGGCTATAAGTTTGCAGTTGAGCGAAATCTTTGCATCATCAATTAAGCATACTGTGCTCTGATTTGTTGGCAGTTTCTGCAAAGAGTCTGATGAAACTTGGTTAATACTTATATTATGCGATGAAAAAGGCTAAGCTTAAAGGTAAGCAAAACCTGAACGTAATGTATTAATCTACTGCTAATTGATGGACAGTTAATTCAGCACAATAAGTAAGACAGGATTCTGATGAGACTTAATCAATATATATATGTATGCTTATATGTATGCTTTATCTAAAAGAAAATTTGCCTATAAATAATAAACAATAGAAATATTTTTGGTTTAAATTGTGTAAGATGAATTGGTTATTGGCAAAGAGTGGCAATTTCAATTTCTGTTTTCATGGTTTGAAAGGGAGACAATTGTGAGCAGTGGGTGTGGTCTCCCAGGGGGCAGAAAGGCGGGGCCCAATAGGAGAATTAGAGGCAAAACCTTTAAAATCCTTCTTCGACCATCGGGATTAAAGGGATTTTATCCGTATTTAGTCCAGAGCAAGGGGTTTCAATTTTGTATAATTGGTGGGTATAGGGGTGGGGCTATGTTTGAAGTTTATTCTCGCTTTATCTCAAGTACTGGATGGATCTTTCTGAAATTTCATATGTATACTTACAGCACCTACCATGGAATGCTATATCTTTATTTCATACCAATTATTTTAAACATATTCATGTGAGCGATACAGGCCCTCTTGGTCTCTTGTTTTCTTTCACCATATTTCTTAAATAGACAGAGTTCTGTAATTAGTTCTGCATCATGATTGATGGCGATACATTCTATGAGAAGTTTTAAGACTACTATATACGCTTGTTGAGAATGAGGAGTCAATAAATTGTTGGGCTACTCATTTGACACTGTACTGGTTTGATGTTATATAGGAATTATATGTAAAAGTGTCTACATTTATCTGTCACAATGGCAACAGAACCAGGAGACGTTTGATATCTGAAGGTGATCATATATTGTGTTGCTAATTCCCATAGTCAGTTTGAAACAAGATCTCGCAGTCATCTCAACATACTACTTCATGTTGCCAGTTTAAAGGAAGTTACCACACAGGAAGATATAAACTGTGGGCCTTCCACACAGGAAGATATAAACTGTGGGCCTTCCACACAGCAAGATATAGACTGTGGTCCGATCCTTCCACACAGAAAGATATAGACTGTGGGCCTTCCACACAGGACGATATAGACTGTGGGCCTTCCACACAGGACGATATAGACTGTGGGCCTTCCACACAGGAAGGTATAGACTGTGGGCCTTCCACACAGGACGATATAGACTGTGGGCCTTCCACACAGGAAGCTATAAACTGTGGGCCTTCCACACAGGAAGATATAGACTGTGGTCCGATCCTTCCACACAGGAAGATATAGACTGTAGGCCTTCCACACAGGAAGATATAGACTATGGGCCTTCCACACAGGAAGATATAGACTGTGGGCCTTCCACACAGCAAGATATAGACTGTGGTCCGATCCTTCCATACAGGAAGATATAGACTGTGGTCCGAGCCTTCCACACAGGAAGATATAGACTGTAGGCCTTCCAAACAGGAAGATATAGACTATGGGCCTTCCACACAGGAAGATATAGACTATGTGCCTTCCACACAGGAAGATATAGACTGTGGGCGAATCCTTCCACACATGAAATTATAGACTGTAGTCCGATCCTTCCACACAGGAAGATATAGTCTGTAGGCCTTCCACACAGGAAGATATAGACTGTAGTCCAATCCTTCCACACATGAAATTATAGACTGTAGTCCGATCCTTCCACACAGGAAGATATAGACTGTGGGCCTTCCACACAGGAAGATATAGACTGTGGTCCAATCCTTCCACACATGAAATTATAGACTGTGGTCCGATCCTTCCACACAGGAAGATATAGACTGTGGGCCTTGCCTTCCACACAGGAATATATAGACTGTGGGCCTTGCCTTCCACACAGGAAGATAGACTGGAGGCCTAGAGGACATGTAAAGGCCCCACCCTATTAACCTGGTCATTAGTTTATCATGTACACTTAACAGTACTGTTTGTCTCACTCAATTTGACTAAATATTTAACCATTTTGGTGGAAGGACAGGTGGTCACCAAACAGAAAGATATCTAACTCTTAATATACCACTTCCATCCTACTTGCGCATGCAAACTCATCGTGGAGTGAAAGGTCATTTGGAAGAGTTATAAAGTAGAAATATAGATGCAGGACATCATTTCATATTTTCGTTCAGCTGCTTTCAGTAAAATATCACGCCAGCTAGCTGTATCATTCAATCAACCTCATTTGCTGCTAATGTAACCCTCTTCTATTTCCAGTCCTTGTCACTGCTTTATTTTATTCAAACACAGTTTTTAGGCAGTCTAATTTTATCTATATTGAGTGTTTCTTTTTCATATATATCGCACTTTGACAACAATATAATAATATAATACAATTATGAATCAATCTATCAAACTATCAAATTAACATGTTTAACTTATACTGCCACCCTTCTAGTTCCTAACATAGCACTGACTCTTGTCTCCTTTCCTACCTAGTTCCTAACATAGCACTATGACTCTTGTCTCCTTTCCTACCAAGTTCCATTTTATAGAACCTGTAATTGATGACATCTGAATGACGATTAGTTTGCATGTATTGATAATGCCTTGGTATCTTCCGAAGTATTTGAAAAAAAAAAAATATCAATCCAATGTGTTTGATATCGTAGCAAATTTTAACTATTCCCTTAAACTATCAAGAAAGATGTGTGACACAAACAACATGGGAAATAAAAGGGAAATCACTTTTATGTTTAAGTTTACCTGGTCCATAGGTCCTGTGAGCTTAAGCTGTGTCGCAGCTTCAGTCATCTGTCTGTCCATCAACTTTTTACCCATCATTATCTACCGAATGGTGGGCCTTTCAAAACACTCTTTGTACATGATCCGTTTTCCATGGTACGTCCGTGGTCGGTCGTACATCCGTCCTTAAACAATATGTTTCCCTTGATCTGTAGTTGTGCTTGTTTACTTTTGAGACTGATCAGATGAACAAAATGGCCGAAAGGTGGCCATCTTGGATTTGGCAGTGAAGGCTATTGCTCAGAAAGTACTGAAGGGATCTTTCTCAAATTGGTCTGTATAGCTATAGCTGTGCATGATTTTGAGGGTTTATTTGTTAAATTGGGCTCTGTGCGTCCGTCTGTGCGTCCATGCATGGGTATTTTTTCCAGGCTGTGAAACTGTTCAAGATATAACTACTCAAAACTTTGTACAGTAATCAAGCTAG